GTAAAGTCACGAGTCAAAACCGTCGGATACAAGAAACACAAGCCTGCCAGACCAGATTCATTGACGCCTGGAAAAAGGCAGTCAGCCTGGATCTGAGCAAACAATCAGTCTGCGCACAGCTGGCCTCTTTACCAGTATTGAGTGCAAATTGTAAAATCAATTAAACAAAATTGTTGTCCTTAATTATAGCAAACGCTGCATTTTGAAAGACTTCTTTTCAGTAGTGTTCCAAATATACTGCTAAGCAAATCCATAATGTGGGTACACACTCAATGTAAACAAAAAACTCACCCAAATCCACATGAAAGCTTGAGTCACATGGGTGACCTACAAGAGACATGAGTGTGAAACCTCAGAGAAGACGTTAAGGTCGTAATATACGAGTGAATCTGTTGCTAAACGACATCTTTTTTTTTTTTTAAAAAGCAACAGAAAGAGTAAGACAGCTGTCAAGAATTCACATGAGGGATCAAGTGGGGCAATGAAGCACCATAAGGACGGAGCATTCAAACACACTAATTTTGCAGTACTTCTTCTAGACTGCTAAGTTTAAAGTAGTTATATTTTTAATTTGCATATTTTACTCAACAAATCTCAGTGTAAATATTAAGCATCCATCCATCTTTACCCGCTTCTTCCTTTTTGGGTCATGGGGGTCACTAGTGCCCATATCCAGCTATCACTGTTGGAGAGGAGGGGGACACCCTGGACAGGTCTCCAGTCCATCACAAGGACACATAGAGACAAACGAGACAAACAACCTCACACCTAGGGACAATTTAGAGTTACCAATCAGTCTAACATGCATGTTTTTGGTCTGTGTGAGGAAACATGAGCACCAGGAGAAAACCCATGCATGCACGGAGAGAACATGCAAACTCCACCCAGAAAGGTCCCACGCTGAGAAGCAGCATCTCTACCAACTGTTCCACCGCGCCGCCCTAAAGATTTGGCAGTTGTTTTTTTATGCCAGATGCCCTTCCTAATGCAACCTGGACTTGAACCCTCAACCACAGAATTACAAGACCACAGCATTGACCACCAAGCTACCACAGCCCTAAATATTAAGCAAATCATGAGAATTATCTGATCAAAATTTAAATGGTTCTTTCACTGGTATCACCATTGTTGACCTTTTTTTTTAGTCACTTTGGTTGATTTTCATAGGTCAACAAACAGCTGGGAGATCGGAACCAGTCACAAAATTTAATATAAATTTGTAATTTAAAAACACATTATTCATCAGTATGACTACCTTCATTGAAGGATTTTAATAACATTGTTGAAGCACTGGATGCTAAGGATTATTGTGCTGCACTTTACTTAGACCTGTCTAAAGCTTTTGACACTGTGGATCATGACTTCTTATGTCATAAGCTCTCAGACATTGGTTTCTCAGATCACACTATTGGTTGGTTCTCTAATTATCTCTCAGTTCGGAGGCAATGTGTTCAATATAACGGTATCTTCCAGCTATTTAACTGTTAACAATGGTGTACCACAAGATTTAGTCTTAGGACCCACCCTTTTCACAATCTACAAAAGTAATGTAGGTCAGATCATTCCTGATGTATCATTACATTTCTATGCCAATGTTACAGTTGTTTATTGTCGAGCTAAAACAGTTGCTAAGGTTTTCCAGCTTTTACAGTCTGCTTTTGACATCATCCAGTCTGATTTGTTCTGTCTCAAACTTGTGCTAAATGCTGATAAAACCAAAAGGATGTGGTTTTCAAACAGGAAGTTGTTCCCAGCAGTTCTTCCTTCTATCTTATTTGCAAATGGTTTTCCTATTGAGTTTTTCGACTCTTACAAATACCTGGAAATCTTGGTCAATGCACATCTCTCTTTTAAGCCTCATGTTGAAAACTTAGTAAAGAAACTGAAAGTAAAACTGAGTTTCTTTTTCAGAAATAGACCCTGAACCCTAGGAAACACCTTGCAACTACTACATTCCGTCCAGCTATTGACTACGGTGACATTATTTGCATGAATGCTCCTGCAAGCACCCTGCAGATGTTGGATGCTGTCCATCATGGCGCACCAAGATTCATAACTGGGTGTAACTACCATACCAATCACTGCACCCTGTATTCACAGGTTAACTGGTCACCATTAACTTCACGCAAACTCTCTCACTGGTACATTTTCATCCTTGGTCTCTTGCCTTCATAGATCTCCTCCTACATGTCACGTTGTCAGTGCAGCTACAGCGTGCGCTCTCAAGACATCATTACGTGCAGCGTCACCTCAGTGCGGATAGAATTTGGCCAAAAGGCCTCCTCCTACTCCGCTCCTGTTTCCTGGAACACTTTGCAAAAAGATCCAATGCAAAAAATCTTAACAGACATATTCCTGTTTTTAGTATTTTACAACGCTTTATAATGTAGTATGTTTTTATTTTATTTCTTCTTATATCACTTCTTTACTTATCATTTTGTATGCTTTTATATGATTGTTGTGTGTACCTCCTCTGTGGTTTTAGTTTAAAACAGGTCTCTTGAAATATAAAGGTTGAATGAATGAATGAATGAATGAATGAATGAATGAATGAATGAATGAATGAATGAATGAATGAATGAGAGAAAAGAACTTGAGGATTTTGTTTTGTACGGTTTGCGAGCATGTTTCTCTATTGTCATTCCCTCTTTTCATACTCTCCTTCCACCCCCTCTCCCACCCTTTGCAGCCACAGTTGCACTATCAGTGAAAGCCCACCTTGCCCTTTGGAGTCCATTTACCTTCAGTTAATCACTTCAAATAAAGAGAACATGTCCACACCCAGCAAATCCATATCTAATTCCTCTTCGTTCATCTTGCAGCTGTGATAAATCAGAGGGGTACGTAAAGCAATTGTGCATCAGGATCCTACCGGATCACGGAGGTTAATGAAATACCACACAATACGCACGACCAACAGGATTAGAACGTTCATGAGAGCAGGTTCAACATTGCAAACAAAAATAAAAATATGTTGTTATTTTTTTTTTTCATAGACAGATCTCAATTTACCTGTAATAAGGACAAGAAAATAAAAAAGACACCACTGACTGTGTCACTTGTTTCCTTTTTCTAAAAACATCCCTTGACCGCAGCTTAAATAATAATTATTATAAACAAAACACAACTTTTCCTCCTCTTTTCATTGGAATGTCAGCTTGGTGAATTCTAGTAGGTGCAGCGTGAGGTAATGTCACATTATCGTCATCATCCAGAGGCATATTTATTAGAATTTCACAGACTCAATACCTTCAAAAGCCTCATCAAAATAGACATTAAGCTAAGTAGGTCTATACAGGTTTGGGATGTAACCAGTTAGCCTTACATTAAATGACATTAAATAATTTAATCACGAGAAATATGTTTTTATTTGTGACATTTAATAAGGAAAATATTGATGGTTAGCTGCAACACCCTGGTCTAATGTTCAGTTCAGACGGAGGTGGGAGCTCTACCCATAACCTCCTGCAACAAGAGTGTTTTAATTTTACTTTTAAAATCAAACAGATGGACAGGCAACAAGGCAGCGTCCAGACACACCTCGTCTTTTCTCCCACCGAACGGCGCAGATGGAGAAACACATACCACACAAGAATTGGATTTTTAATCTGATTATTAGACTGCAGGCTTACTCGTGGTTCCTAGAGTTTCCAAAAACAGAATAGGAGGAAGATCTTTCAGTTATCAGGCTCCTCTCTTGTGGAAACAACTTCCAGTTTCTGTCTGTGAGACTGACACATTGTCCAGTTTTAAGACTGGGCTTAAGACTTTCCTTTTTGATAAATCCTAAAGTTAGGGTTAGCTTGTTATGCTGCTATAGGCTTAGACTACTGGATGACAAATTGACCTCATTTCCTAAAACGAATTGTTAAAATTGAATAGTTTTCATTTGATATTATTTCTATCTTAACGTGATTCTTGACCTGCCATTGTGTATCTGTTCCTCCTTCCTTACTGAATCACCAAGAACCATTTTAAATTTATATCAATGAAAAAAACACAAAACAAAACAAGCTAAGTAATTCAGTCAGATAAATTATGTATTGCAAAGAACTACTTTTTTTTTTTTTGCCAATTATTTGATTAGAATGAAGTCACTGCACGTGCTCCTTTAAACCAGCCACTCCTGGTGTCAAAGTGATACAACACTCCTAAAAAAAAGAGTAAGATTTGTCCGTTTATTGAACTGGATTTGAAATGGAAGGAGACATGAATCTAAACACAAAGACAACTGTAGACTCTTTGTTTCTGTCTGGAAATTATTCTAACATGGACCTTTTATTGCTTTGGCACACATACAGGCTGATGATGATGCAACTGTTTGTATCTGTATGATATCTGCAGTCTGGTCGGAGCATATTTGTGTGTATTCCCATGTTTGATCTTCAGAGGTAAAAACCACACGAGGAGCTCGGTACTGTAGCAGCCCACGGGACACAGCAGAAATAGATTGCATTCATATGCTTTGTTTTAGAGCCCCCTTCAAATAAATCAACAAAAACAACAAATAAAAACCTACACAAAAACCCCACACTACCTTTTCCTCGCCGACTCATGCTCACACTCCCACTTTCCTCTTTTCTGCCTCTCATTACATCATGAAGCAAAAGAAAAGGCTGAATAAGGGCTGGATTTGAAAAGCAGCCGAAACGACGTGCTGTGAAATAAATGGATATCTGCCCACTGTGAGATAAAACAAAACCACGTGAGGTCATTCAACGCAGGAACCGTTTATCAGGGATGTGCGTTTCTTCGCTTTGTGATACACCTAAAAGAAAAAAACTCAGCAACAACACAAAAAAATAAAAGTCACAATTCAGCTGAAACGATTAATTTCATCCCTTCTTTCATCCTTACGTCTGTCCAGATGAGTTCACAGCTTCTGCCCACTTGAGCACATCTTTTTCACACACACCACCTCCCACACTTCCATATGCTGCTCAAAGTTTCACACACAGTTCACAACTGTCCACATCTCCCGGCGAAAATGAAAAACTCACGGAGGTTTGCAGTCCTGGAAACAAAGTGCTGCGAATGCATCCCTAGGGCCTCCTCACCCCGGTACTGCTCACCTGGACACCCACCCTGCAGCACGCTGGCGACCGCCCTGTCAGACAAGAAGAGGCGCAAACATGAGGAGATGCGCGTAGTGTTGCTTAAAGCAGTAGTTCTCAAGTGGTCCGTGAGCCAGTGCCAGTGTCCGCAAAATCAATATATACAGTATGTATGCATATTTTTACAAGCGCATAGATGTTTAACAGCCTGTTAAAATACACCAAATGCAGGAAATCACATCTACTTTATTAAAAAATTTTCTGGGGGAGGACCACAGACACACCTGCTGCGCACTGGCCCGCCCGCTATTTGCGTTCCAGCATCGATTGGTTCTCAAATTCAGCTCCGTCTCTTGGTCTGACTGTTATGAATCTGTTCAGTTTTATGTGAAGAGTTTTCTGTAATAACTTGAAGAATATGTTCATTGTGTGAATAGGTAAAGTTATAAATTGTTTTTTTTTTATACTATTCACCTTCTCAAAGCTGCTATTTTTTTGGAAGTTGAAATCAAAATTTTTGTTCATAGAGTGTGTAGTGCATGAAAAATACTCCATGTTTAAAAGTATAAAAATTGTATTAACACTATTCAAGAACAGGTCTTAAGTATTTATGTTACACAAATATTTCCATTGCATTAAAGAGACAAATTGAAGACAATTATTTAATAAACATAAGGGTTATGAGGGGGAAACTTTTTCTCCCCTATAAGGAGTCCCTGAACCACAAAAAGTTTGAGAACCTCTGGCTTAAAGTACCGAAGCACCTTCTATTTTACCTTCTATTCCAATGCGTGTCCCATCAGTGTATGAATGTGATAAAGCACTGATTATTCTTTGTATAGATCTAGTCGAGTGCTGTATGAATGGGTAAATGAGGACACAGATTGTAGTGTAAAGCACTTTGTGTGTCTTGATAAGATAGAAATGTTTTATATAAGTACAGTCCATTTATCATTTACCATCTGTCTGGATGTTATTCGTCTGTTTCTGTCACACTTCTTCATTTAAAGTCCAAACTGAAGCTCAGACTTCACAGAAGAAACATTAAAGTTTAAGTGGGTCACAGGAATTTAAGACTTTGCATGTCTGAACTGGCATTTTAATAACTTTACTGTTTTTACACAATTGCGGTTTACATTTATGATATTTATATTTAAATATTTGACTGGGGGTTTTTTTACATTTGAGATGATATCACATGTTGAGCTGTCTAAAGTTATTTTGCCAACCAATTCTCCTTCTTCCAAATTTCACATGTCTGGGGCAGGTTTTACATCACAGCATAAAGATTTACATCTTCTTTTACCCCATGTGTCTCTCACTGTTATAGGACCTGCAGTTTCCATTCGTAGTGAAGGGTTCACCCTTCTAAACTCCCATTGACTTCCATTGTATTTGAGTTCAGAAGTTTCTCTTCAAAATTTCCAGTAAAGTGTCTTTTTTTTATTATTTTTGTCATATCCCTACATAAAACATTATAGATATAAAAATTGGAGTGTGAAGTTCAAGAAATGTTTATACAGTAGTATTTGCAAAGTGATCTTTTGAGGTTTACTTTCTAATCTGCCAGTCTGTCTAGCATTCAGGAAGTGACAGACACAGGTGTGTGGGTGATCTTAATAAGTAGCTTTACCATTTATTTTGATATTTGTTCTCTTCACACATATACAGTTTTAAAGCTGCACAATATTGTGTGTATTGGTTATTTTTACCATATGAATCACATTTGGTCCTTTGCATTCGGTATCGCCATGGCGATAAGGAAGCTTTATTTTGTGCAGCCCTTTTAAAAGCGGGACAATTTTGCCACCTTACAATATCACTATTAAAGTAAGTCTAACATTAATTTTGGACTTTAAGGAAAAAAGTGATGTTGGAATTTTGGGCAGCAGTTTTTCATTCCCACAATCTCTTCAGCAAATGTTCTAATTTATTAATCAAGCTCCTGTTTTTATGAAGCTATGCTGCAGCTAACTGGGAAACTCCTCCAAATAAACAGATGTTCTTTGTCTTTGCTGTGGTCACACTTTGAAGGAAAAAAAAACATCTTCAGTTTGTAGGCACAAACACACACCCGCCATGGAGAGAAGACCTGCAGCTGCGTCTCCACAACTACACAAGAGTCAGAAGATGTCAGAAGTTGGTTGCCTAGAAACCACGCAGTCCGTGCGTGTGTGCGAGAGATGCGTTTAATGTATTTAAGGCGCGTGTTGGTGTATTTTGTTTTTCCAGTGGTGTGAAGGAACACATGCTGCGCGCTCCGAGCTCCTGCTTGTGCGTAATGCTGCAGGTGTGTGTGTGTGCGTGCGTCTCACCTGTACATGTTCTCTCTCTGGGGTCGGTGTGCTTTCTCCAAGCCCAGTTTGGTGAAAATCCCCACCAAGGCCATGATGGCCACAACTCCACAGATGATGTAGACGATCAAGTTGGTCTTGTCCCTCGTGCTGTCGTGCATCTTGTTCATCTTCTTGTACGGGGTCTGTCCGGTCTTCATCCACACCGGGGTGTCGTAGTTCTTGCACACGCTCTGGTCCAGCCGCGACTGCTTGAAGGAGCAGCAGAACCGGAAGCCACAGGTGCCGCAGCAGTACAGATAGTTGCCCGTTTTGCAGATGAACGGCGGGTCCCACTGGCCCATCACGTCGTAGTAACCCCGACATTTGTCCTCGGTGTGCGGCGTCTCCTCGGACACGCTCTCCTCCTCCCGGGAGCCGTTGGAGGTGGCGATCATTACGAAGCCCCCCAGCAGTCCTGGCTCCCCGTCCGCCTTGCACACCAGAGCCATAAGTTTGAGCAGCAAGAAGGCGAGGAGAAAGTATTTCCCTCTCATCGCTGCGCTTGGTCTTCCGTCCAACTTCACGCGCAAACACTCGAATGGTCCGGAAAAATCCACCCGGAGAGGAGCGCACCGTCATCCACTCTGAGGAGCATCTTCAGCTAAATATCATCATGCAAAATAAATAAATAAATAAAAAATAAAAGAGGGATGGGGGATATATAAAAAAGGTGACACAAAAAAATAATCTCCGTGGGTTGAACTTGATTGAACCTAATCCTTTGTGCTGCGCATTTACGCGTCCAGTCCAGCGAGGCGCAGACTGCGCGTTTTCAGAAGAGCATCACCCTACTTATCCATCTGTGCGCTCTTACGCACAGGAGGAGGCAGAGACACGAGCCACACCGAGGCTGTGCGCGCAGAGAGCGAATAGGAGAGCCGGGGGTGGGAGAGCCTGGTGCGCAAAAAGGAGAGGAGGAGGAAAATCAAGGGAAGGGAGGGAGAGTGCTGAGGATAACGAAAGAGAGGAGGGAGTTTATTATGAAATATTATAATAAAAGCCCCAAAACACTTCTATGACCAGACCAGTCCAGAGCAACTAGAGCTCCAAATTTTGAGCGACTTTTGCGCTTCTCAGAACAAATGATATGTTTTAAAAAAGATTATTAAAAGTACTGACTTTTTCCAACTATTCTATTTATTTTAACAAACAAACAGGAAAAATGTACTGACTTTTGAAGATCCATGTGCTTGTTGTGTTTTATTTATTCGATCCAGTCTAATCACAGGTTTGGGATAATGACAGCTTTTTCATTTGAATGTTGAAACTGCTTCTCAGAGATTAAAGGACGTCACAAATACCTGTCCAAAAAAAAAAAAAATCATGAAATAAACAAAATCATCAGACATTTTTAATAATTCAGTGGCTAATGTGTCCTTAAATATTACATTTATCATCAGTTCACGTGTTTGTTTTCCCACAGAAACACCAAAGTGACAGTGGAGATGTCCATGGAAGAGCTGTTTCTGTGAGACGTATAGGCAAGAATTTATGCTCAGATTTGTTAAGAAAAGTGTGTAGATATAAATTATATGTTAGATTGAAAGTGTAAACCTCCTAGTCTAGATTAAGTTTAGTAAAAGCTGAGTGATTGAAGGCTGATCTGTTTTTAAGGCGTTCTGCCGATGGTTTTGATCCTCCGTATTTATTCTTGACACATGTCCACCTCAATGTTTCTCATAGATCTTGTTCGATTTCACCATATTAGTTGACAGATAATTCCAGTGTAATGTAGCTAACCATGATTCAAGCTTCCACATTTTTAATGGATTCTGATTCTTTGTTTACATTAAGTGTGTACCTGCATTTCAGAATTGCACATCAATACATTTGGAAAAAGTAGCGGAGCAAACATTGCAAACTGCACCACTTGATATAGTTTAATATAAACTGTTGGTGTCATCGTGTTGTGAAGCAGCTGGGACGAGGATCAGCACCTCCATGGCCATGGTCCTCAGTTGGAAAAGGGTGGACTGACCTCTCCACATTGGGAGTGAGGATCTGCGGTGAAGGAAGTTGTAGCATCTACAAAAGCCGAAGCGAGCGTTTCATTAAAATTGCCTTGCTCTATATTTTTCCGAATATTTCTTCTCTAAAAATATATTTGTTTATCTGTTTAATAGCCTATCTTTAGAGTTGATTTGTCAATCTATACATTTTGTATGTTAATGTCCATTTGGTGAAGCAAGAAATCTTATATCTTCCTTTCTTTGAAATATGTTTTTAAAACTATCATGTCAAACTGATTTGCTTACAAAAACAGTTAAAGCTTAATAAAAATAGTTTTTAAAAAAGTAGTTTATTTTCTTTCGGGTTCAGTCCTATAATTACAGATAAATGATCATATCTAGGTGGGTTTGGGAAAAAACGAGCTCAAACCTGCAGCCTCAGTTATTAGAAGACTGTAGCACTGACCACTGAGCTACCACAGCCCCCAACATGTATTTCACTTATATTAAAGAAGGAAAGCATAAACCCTGATTTCTTTGTGGAAAAATAGAAAAATTATTCGTAATGGGGATGAAAAATATACGTTACAATGTGAGAGTTGAATAAATGGTTGCATTGTGATATCAGCTAAAAACCTGGTCTCTGGATAACCTACAACCTTAAAATATTATATATATATAAATATATATATATATATATATATATATATATATATATATATATATATAATTTTTTTTTTAATTTTTATTATTATTATTTTGTAAAGGTGCCAGTGCAACTAATTCCATCATTAATCAACTTTGTTTAAAGTCAAAGAGTAAGGCGGGACTAATTTTTGTAATAAATTACTAAAAAAATGTCATTGTTTAGATGAAGTGCAGTAGGACCCCCCCCCCCCCCCCCATACACACACACACACACACACACTCATCATGGAGACCACACAGCTGTCAGTCATTCCCTGACATAAACACGGACTAGAAAGTAAACCTCAGCTAAATGGTCACTGTACAAAAGCTACAAGTCTTAGTGAAAACATTCCCAAAGAGTACTGTTTGTGGGGCACACATGTCAGTTTTGTTGTATTTTATACAGGAGATATGACAAGTGAAAAAGACCCTACACCTCCAGTTTTGAAGAGAACTGGAGGTGTAGGGTCTCAGATACAATGGTAGTCAATCAGAGTTTAGATGGAAGCATTTGAGGGAAAACTTCAAGTCCCTGAGCAGTGAGTGACACACTGGGTGAAAGAAGACAAAAGCACCAAAATGTAAAAGAAGTGTAAAGTTTGTGGGATTTAAAAATAAAGGATTGATTTGCAAAAATCTGAGCTTTATCAAAATAATAGTGTGACATTTGTTGAGACTTTAAGTTCAGCATATTGTGAGAAAATCTTAAAAAAAATACAAATTTAAGCTGTGATTGTAAAAATAAAAATAAAAAAAATCATAAAATCTTCCAAAATACTATTTCAGTCGTATAAAGTCCAACTTTCTGTGACTTGTTTAAACTTGTTTAAAGGTTACATTTGGCTCTAGTGTGAAGCACACCTCAGCTAATGAGCTTCCTGTTTTTGACAAAATCTTATTTTGTATGCAAACATATTTTCAGTATTTTTACATTTAACTTTTTTTTTTTTTTGCTTTTTTATTTGTGTGGCAGAATAAATTAAATTTATACCATATCAAACACTTTCTGGATTGAGCTGCACATTTGTATGTTTTTCTTGTTTTAGTTGTAGGAGTACCAAATTGAACCTGAAGAAGAAAACTAAAACATAATGACTGAATAGTAGTTAGGGTGTTTCAGTGTTTTTGCATTAGTTTTCTAATTAATGATATTTATGCATTAAAAAACAAACAAAAAAATGTTCAAAACTTTATATGTGTGGCATCCAGTCTTGGTCCCCGAGGGTCAGTATCCTGGACGTGTTAAATGTTTAGCTGCTTCAACACGCCTGATTCAAACACACAGTGATTAACAGGTTTCTGCAGAACTTACAACTTGTGGTTTTAAGTTAACCACAGTTACAGTGTCATGCAGAGGCATGTGAGCATGTGCAGCTCAAGTGCAACATAAAACCATCAACCAAAACTGAAAGCTGCAGAGAAGACTGATAGCCAAGTCTTTGACTCCTGCAATAGTTTTTTTTTTCTGACAAATTAAACTATTTTGTAATAAAGACAAACTGTGTGAAACTACTTTTTTTTAAGTTGAATTAATTCAAAATATTTAATGTAAGGAACTTTTATTGTATTCATTATTTGACCAAATGAAATTGTGAAGGGGAAAAACACATTTCAGCTAAACTGAAGTAAAACAGGTAGCTCAATTGGTAGAGCTGTTGCCGCTCAGCAAGAAGGTTGTCGGTTCAAATCCTGGCCCAGGACCTTTCTGAGTGGATTTTACATGTTCTCTCTGTGCATGTGTGGGTTTTCTCCAGGTACTCCAGTTTCCTCCCACAGACCAAAAACATGCATGTTAGACTGATTGGTAACTCTAAATTGTCTCTAGGTGTGAGTGAGAGAGTGAACAGTTGTTTGCCTCGTTTGTCTCTATGTGTCCCTGTGCTGGACTGGAGACATGTCCAAATGTCCCCCGCCTCTCGCACAGTGACCGCTGGATATGTGCACCAGTGACCCAAAAAGGAAGAAGCGGGTAAAGATAATGGATGGTTGAAGTAAAGCAAATGAAAACATGTTTAAAATAAACAGTTTTAAATAAAATCATACTTGGCCTTAATTGTCTTTTTTTTTTAAGTTATTTGAAGTACTGACATTGTTATGAAAGATCAGCATTGAATGTTAATAAAGCTAAGTTTACATGGACATAAGTAATCGGATTAAACAGCCATTAGGAATAAAAATGCGTCGGATTATTCTTTGCTGATTCAGCTTGATCCAAATTAATTTATAATCCGAATGAGAGGGGAGGTTTATGCCGATTCATAATCCTAACGGTGTGCATGTAAACACTTAATCTGATCATTTTATTCCGATTGTGGAAAACTGACCTGACTGCGCATGTGCGACCTGTCAACCTCACGTATTTCCACCTGAAACAAATCTGGTCGGTGAACGACACATTTCGACTAGAAACTTTGAAAGAGCTCAAAATTATCTGTATTGCCTGTAGCTCAATCAGGAAATGCAGTAACATCTCCACCGTCATTAAAACCTGTTGCCAGTTCATTTTGGGCGCTCCGGTTTGTTTACGTTCGTCATGGAAGTAGAACTTCTTCTTCTCTTTTTTTTTTTAAGGAACGTTTACCACTCTGCACATATCAGTACTTCTATTCAGAATAAAAGCCCACTGCATGTAAACACTCGTTACGATCAGATTGTGCCCATGTAAATGACACATTCGGATTATTTAATCTGAAAACATTTCAATCCAATCAAAGAATTTTACGCATGTAAACTTTCACTAACCTAGGGGTGTCAAACTAATTTCCACCGAGGGCCACATCAGCATAATGGTTGCCCTCAAAGGGCCAGACTTAACTGTAAGACGGTATAAATGTAGCTAAATTTAACTAAATGTAATTTAAAATAAATGTAATTACCCTTTAATATTAAATAACTGAATATTTTACTTACTCAACTTGCAAATATTACATATATATTTGCATAGATGTAGAAAAATATGTCTGCTGTTATAA